AAAACAAATGTAACTTTACATCTGTAAATTAAAGTATATATATTATTGATGTGAATGAGGATGGAATAGATAGGTTTATAATTTAATTTATTTGCAATGTGTCGGTTGTCACTTTGGTCTTTAAACTAAGAGGAAATAGTAAAACATGTGATAGGGTAGAGTTTTTCCAAAAGGTCTTACTAAGATTTAATAATGAGAAACTCTATTGTGGTATCTTTTTTGTGATGTTATAGGAGGGAAGGTACCTTCACTGTTTTGGGTCCCTTTCTGATTGAATCAATAGTGCTAAAAGAGCTATCATATAATTCTTAATTTTATCCAATCATCACTGTTGACAATGCAATTAATCAAAAACCTTTTTAAAAGAATACAATAAGACTGAAATCATTAGGGTTTGTAGTGTTCCTATACTTTATTTTAAGTGATCTTTATATTACTTTTCTATTAGCACAAGATTTAGGGATAATGATTGAGTTTTTGTTTTTCTTAAAGGTTAAACCTAAATCGTTCAATTGTAGAAAAACTGGGTTGGATTCTCCTTAAGTAATCAAAATCTTGGATTTAAAAGAACAAAATAATTTCCCACTGAAATAACTACTTTCCTATAAATAATTTCCAATCAAAACATCACAAAAGAAAAAACATGACCAGGGACGACGATGTCTTTGAAGAACCCAAGCCTCCCAAGCTCTACAGTCTTAATGAAAATACACAGTGGTGTATAGTACTACCACCAAGAATCCAAATTGGGTACTGAGAAATGGTAGTCATACATTTTTTTTCTTTCTTAATTTTAACAAGAACTCTGAAATTAACTGGGTTTTCATATTTTAATTAAGATTAACATTTCTTGTATTTTTATTTGTGCAAGCAAAATTATATTATTTTAATCTTATATCTCTGATTCATATAAGATTTAAGAAGGTTGCTGATAGCATCATATAAAGTATAAATTTGAATTTAACTCGTTAAAAACCTAAGGATTTTTCTTAATTGTATACTTTAATTACTATGTTTAGTCATTGTGAAACTTAAATTTGTTGTAACGAACTGTTTGTGTGAGAAGCATATTGAAAAATATATAAAATTTTGATGAGTTTTATGAAGAAAGAAAATCACTTCAACAACATATAAGTTCAACATATACATACAAAATTAATATCGTCTTCCATTCAAAATATTTAACTCATGAGATTTAAACTCACATTTAAATTTTTAAAAAATTTCTGAAGCTATTTACATTAACATTTTCTTCTTGAACTACTACTGATGAATTTAAAAAAAAAAAAAGTCATCGAAAAGATACAAGGTCAACAAGACATATGCCAAATCCATACATAAGAAAATAACATCATCTTTAACTAAAAACGTTAAAATAATAAGTTTAATAGAATCTTTATTCTTATACGATATTGAACTTTAATGTTATATTTAGACTTACATTTAAATTCTGAACAAATTTTAATTTAGGTGTTAATACGTGCCATGAAAAAAAAAAAGAAAAAAGGAGTCCATAAATCATAGATTCATAGTGACAGTCGTTACCAGCACCATCTTCATTCCCAAGTTCACTGACGCCAAGGGACAGGGTAAAGGTGGGGAGTACGAGCTACTCCTAATATTCCCTATTTGATAGATTTTTTATTTCTTTTAGCAGAAAAATATTTATCAAGTCGAGAAAACAACAATCATACAAAAGGAGAAAAAAGTGGGTTTTGCTATTTAAAGAAAAAGATTGTGTACTATGAGAGAATTTCTCTATCTGATGATACAGACACACGGTGTCGGCGTAATGAGTGCACAAAACTGTGTTGAATGTGAGAGAGATGCATGATTGGAGTGCCCATAACTTATTCTGCCTTTCAACATTAAAAAAATAATGATGCTCTTGCAATATTTTTACTTTCCTATATACATGGTACTTCATATGATACACTATTTTTCGTTTAGTCTTGCGTGCTTAAACATCCAGAAGCTTTCCTCAAGTTACCAATAAACCACAGAAAGATTTTTAACACAATGTAATTTGATCGTTGTTTTGATTAATTATGCAAAGAAATTATTAGATAAATAAAAATAAAACAGAGATAAAAGCTTCTGTGATGCAACTTGAGAACAAGCTAAATATAAAAGAAAATATATTTTTAACAATTATTTTTTAAAACTTTATTACAACGTCTTTGTGGTAATTCGTGATTGGTTCGTTTAAATTATACAAACTAATAAAATAGTGACACATAATCTATTATAAAAAAAATTATCATATTATAGTCTATATAAAAATAAACTTCTTTATAGATGGGAGACATATACTTCTTAATATATAATATATTTTATCTAACGTTAATTGTCATTATTATTTTTTCCTTCTTAATTTCATTTACAATAACAGGCTCTTAGAACAAGGCAATAAGTCCCGTCAGAATTGTAATAAATTATATTAAAATGTCCCGTCCACTAAATAAAGAGCATTAGAATTAACATTGATAGGGTGGTGGTGAAATCCTTTGCTCACTGATTTCACGTGACTTTATTAGACTCACGAACTTCCACTGCTTAGGCAATTTGTAATTTCAGAATAAATGATATTGATTGATAGCGGGGATTGGTATTGGCTTCATAACAAGGAAAGAGTGATTCTTTTACACTTCACCAAGTTTATCATGCACCTTTTAATTTTGTTTTAATTCCAACTATACTCCAACCCCTAACTCTATTATTGTGTCAGTGAGCATTTATTTTCTAAAAATATTAACTCATCCACTCATAAAAGCCGCATCTCACTTTAAACCCTACACCCTTGCTTCTTTCTCCTCTCTGTCGCATCTCATGTGAAACCCTACCCTTGAGTCTTTCTTCTTTCTCCTTTCTAGCCCTCATCTCTCCTTTTTCACAATTTTTTGATCATGAGTGCTCTTCCTTTCCCTTTGTTCAGTTTTTTGCTCACTGTTTTTCGTGTTGGTGTCTTAGCTCTCGTCCCTCGTTTCTTCAATCGTTGGTGTCGTGGTTGTAAGGTGTCTTCTTCTCGTACATCAACGTCCAAGTTAGTTTGCAGGCCAAATCGCACATGGAACTGCAATTAATGGTCGCCGCACTTAAAAGTGCGGATATGGTTGCACCACAGTTGGATCTGCATGAGACAATAACCGCAGGTAGATTTGCGGTTAGTTTTTGGAGGTGCATGGCCGTCGACGCACTTGGAAGTGCGGATCTGGGTTTTCCTCAGTTCGAACTAAGGCTAAGGCCAACCATAGTTCGATTCGCGGCTATATTTTTCGATTTAGAGTCTCTACGGGATCCTAGACTTTGTTATTTTGTTATTAAGTTAGTATATTTTATTTTGAGAATTTTTTGTTTTGTTTTGTTTATAAAATTTGATTTTTTTTTGTTAGATTTTAGTGTTAAATGAAGAACTAAAGAAAATAATATAATAGTACATTCACTGAAGACTTGAAGGAATAAAAAATGAAAGTCAGAAAAATAACAGAGTGCATGTATAATAACACTGATATTTAGAATTTATACCATTTAGGGTTGTTGAATGTTAGAAAGATTGGTGGTGATTGAGAAATGATTAAGTAAATGAGGACAAAAGTGTAAAATGGAAGATGTAGGGAGAAGGAGGTGAGGTACAAGAAGAACTGCTCATGAGGAAATCATCCTCTTTCCAACTCACTGAACTTGAACTTTTCATTATACCAAAAGACGGGCTATTTTGTCAACATTTATTTCGTGCTCCACCTTAAAACGTAATTAATTCTTAATGGTCAAAATGAATACAACATTAGCATAATCAATTAAGACTCTTTCAATTCAATTATATTCTTGATTTCTTTTCATTTAACAGTTCAATTTGCCAACTTTCCTATTTTTTTATGAGAAGAGGTGAAAGAGAAGATTAAGAATTCACTGAGATGTATGATTAGTTCTGGCAAAATAGAATTACGTAAATTCATCCATGTATGACATCAGTGATTGCTCATATGAATTGAAATGAATCGTTGGCTAGCCAAACCTATCATTATTCCATAATTCATACAATCAGCAATAACTCGTTAAAGAAAAAGGGTAAATAGACACTTATCTGGACAAGGAATAAAACTTTCTTTACCGGGTTCCCTCAGATTTACATTTGTTACATAGCTTAGCAATAATGCAGTAAAAAAATATGGGGCCTAGGTTAGAGCTCCTAAAGAATGAAAGAGGATATAAACTTACAACTCAGGAATGGCTAGTATACAAAAAGAATGGCACTAAATCAATCTACAAATTTGGTATGTATTTTAGGAGGATATACAAAAAGGGTGACCGACTTAAATGATTTCCCACCCACGACTATAAAAAGCAGCCTGTTATTGTAAATAAAGTCAAACACCTTACACCGAATTTCGAGGTGTTGTATTTGAAGAGGAATCCTCGTCTGCAAGACCTGATAAATTCAATGAGGTTTCAAGGTTGAGCAATGGTTTTAGTCTTCTGTGAACCTCTTCACACAGAAAATTAATTTCCTCAACAATCATGCATAAAGCAGACTTGCAAGACTCCTCATCCCTGAAAGCCAACGTCCATCTTCCATCCACAAAAGCTTTTGACTTTAATTTGCCGTGGGTATTGAACTTGGCAGGATCCAGAACAGGTAGAGAAGATGGTCTAATCCGNATGAGGAAATCATCCTCTTTCCAACTCACTGAACTTGAACTTTTCATTATACCAAAAGACGGGCTATTTTGTCAACATTTATTTCGTGCTCCACCTTAAAACGTAATTAATTCTTAATGGTCAAAATGAATACAACATTAGCATAATCAATTAAGACTCTTTCAATTCAATTATATTCTTGATTTCTTTTCATTTAACAGTTCAATTTGCCAACTTTCCTATTTTTTTATGAGAAGAGGTGAAAGAGAAGATTAAGAATTCACTGAGATGTATGATTAGTTCTGGCAAAATAGAATTACGTAAATTCATCCATGTATGACATCAGTGATTGCTCATATGAATTGAAATGAATCGTTGGCTAGCCAAACCTATCATTATTCCATAATTCATACAATCAGCAATAACTCGTTAAAGAAAAAGGGTAAATAGACACTTATCTGGACAAGGAATAAAACTTTCTTTACCGGGTTCCCTCAGATTTACATTTGTTACATAGCTTAGCAATAATGCAGTAAAAAAATATGGGGCCTAGGTTAGAGCTCCTAAAGAATGAAAGAGGATATAAACTTACAACTCAGGAATGGCTAGTATACAAAAAGAATGGCACTAAATCAATCTACAAATTTGGTATGTATTTTAGGAGGATATACAAAAAGGGTGACCGACTTAAATGATTTCCCACCCACGACTATAAAAAGCAGCCTGTTATTGTAAATAAAGTCAAACACCTTACACCGAATTTCGAGGTGTTGTATTTGAAGAGGAATCCTCGTCTGCAAGACCTGATAAATTCAATGAGGTTTCAAGGTTGAGCAATGGTTTTAGTCTTCTGTGAACCTCTTCACACAGAAAATTAATTTCCTCAACAATCATGCATAAAGCAGACTTGCAAGACTCCTCATCCCTGAAAGCCAACGTCCATCTTCCATCCACAAAAGCTTTTGACTTTAATTTGCCGTGGGTATTGAACTTGGCAGGATCCAGAACAGGTAGAGAAGATGGTCTAATCCGTAGATGTAACCATCGTGAGTGTTTATCATCAATCTTGGGCTAAAAATATGAGCACAGAAAATTATTATACACCTAGTAATCGAAGTAAAAGTAATTTGCAAAATTCCATTTTTCAAATTACATTCACTGTTCCAATGTGTCAAACTAAACCAATAACATAAATTTGCACCATAGTTATCAGTTATCCAAACTACTTGATTCGAGATAAAAATGCAAAGGTAGCAGACAAATATACATACATTGCACCCAGCCAAAGGTGCAGCAACCCGAACAACGCCAAAGGGCTTCTTTAATGGCAACTCTTCTGCTAGTACAAGCCACCCGGACGTTCCTACAGAGATTGCTAGAAAGGAAAAATGGCGCTCTTTGCCCCTTTCGAAAGCAATTCTACAAGGCACAGCATTAACTGCACATGGAATATAAGAGCAATTTTACCGAAAACTAGTTGATTGTCAACCTACAATACGTATGTATATGTAACTCTTCTAACAAGATAATGAATTACAACTTTAGGTAAGGAACATTTTCACAGACAACAAAAAAAGAAATAGAAGAACACCACCAACTTAGTCTCTAAAGCTACAAAAATCACCAAATTGATCATATAAACATAATAATTGTCTCCTAACCCTTACATCATACAATGCTCAAAGGACACCTTAATTACAGTCACCCTAGTCTACTTTAGACTCACATCAACCAAAAATATGATCAAAGTATATTATACAAGTGAAAAACAACCTTACCCTTACAATCTGATTTTGAGGAATTGAGTTAGAGCCAAATCTCAAATTCCAAGACAGTTTTATAACATCTCTTAGAACCATTGTCAGACCACCTACATTTTCCAAACTACATGCTACAAGTATTGGACATGAGAGTACAAGAAAGTCATCATAATTGTAGTTACCCTTGTAATCTCCTTTAGAGTTGCTTTAATTACAACCTCTAATGGTCGTTTAGTCCCAGATCAACTGATTATATAGCCAAAGTAGAGCATAAAAGTAGAGCACATTCCTCATCTTACAAGTTGATTTTCTAAGGTTGATTAGACCCAAATCCCAAATTCTAAGATGGTATAAGAATTTAACATAGAACCATCATTTGCAACACTCCAGATAAGTCCAGGGTCTGAGGGAGAGCGTTTGGAAAATAACCTAGAGTGCAGCCACCCTTTGCCCTGCATTTGTTGCAGCCTCTTAGAGAGTTGCCTTAATACCAATACCAATCTCAAGAATGGTGGTTTAATTTTCTATATCATGTAAAGATTTGGCCAAAGTATATTACATAAGTGGGAAACAACTTTCTCTTTACACATCAATTTTGTGGTATTGAATTAGGTCCAAATTTTAAATTTTATGATATTAGAGTCTGTTCTAGATTCGTTGTCCAGACACCCACATTTCCCACACTACAAAGAAGTCACCTTAATTGTGGGTCAACCCCAGCTTCCCTAGTTGCAGCCTCTTTGGAGGTTGCCTTAATTGTAACCTCAGAGGTAGTAGCTTAGTTTCAGCATTAATTAGTGATATATAGAGAATAAAAATAGGGTGCAAACCACACAATAGAAGTTAGGTTTATAAGTTGAATCAGGCCAAAATTCTAAGATAGTATTAGGATATAAGGAGAAGTTAGTTAATATAGTCAGGGTATTAATAAGTTAGTTAGTTAGAGGGGTTATTTAGATATAAACAGGGAAAATTCTTTCTGAAGGTGAAACCATTGCAGGAGATACTGCTCTCCCATTTGTTGGTATTTTCGTTCTATTCGGTAAAAGTTCTCTCTTTCTCATTTCAATTCTTGGTTCCTAATAAATTGATCTAACTTGCTAGATCTTCAAGGAAGGTCAAGTGTTAGAGATGAAAGAAGCACAAATTTGGGCCAAGGGGCAGTTGCCAACATTATGAGGGCAAATCCAATTGCGTGGATTGCTAAGGCTGAAAATTCTGAGGTACAAGAAATTAATTTATTCCATAAGTTGCAATATGCATTCATGAGCATGGAGGGTGCGGCAATGTTTTGGTTCTATTATTGGTGCCAAGTGAACCCCATTTCGGTTGGGAATCATTTGATCAAAAGATTTGGAGGTAGCTATGGTAGCCACGTCTTTGAAAGATTGACTACGTGAAACATACATGTGTGTGTGTAATATAAAAATAGAAATATTGTCTCTTCATAAACCAAAGATGGGAGTTGATCTCTTTATGAATTCTCTTTAAAAACTAATTAGTTTGGTAATGTTATTACGATATGAAATAATAGAGAGTAATTTATGATGACTATGATTTATAATTTTTAAGGTCAAGAATATCTAAGAGATGCTTTTAATTTGGACTTTTCACAATTGCAATAATATATTTATAATGTTTTATGAACTTTTATACATTTTTAAATCTGTATCTTGCATGTATGATATCCTTTCACAATAATCATATCGTCGCATTGGATACACATATCATACCCGTGCATCACATGATATGAAAATTAGGATTTTTAAAATATAAAATATTTTTATGATTTGGAATATTCAAAATGGGTACCTAACAGTACTAGGTGCTTTAATGATAGCCCACATCATAAATATCTATCTGAAATTAGGAGCAGTTGGTTATCACATCATGTGTTTATCACTATATTGATATTAACATCAGGACAGAATTATTCTGCAACCACGCCCCCCTCCCAAAACACCAAAACCACAGGTTCTTCTCTTCTTTCTGCCTTTTGCCATTCTATCTCTTTTATGTTGAAGTATAACCCCTTTGTATGTAAAATCAGATAAGAGAGAAAACATAAAACTCCAGTTAGGAACATTTACCAAGGTTGACTTCAGTTCCTGGTTTAGGGCCTGACAAATCAAGTCCAGATGTCTGAGCACGAGAATTCGCTGGGAGATCACCAGGAGGATAAATAAGAGGTTTCTCAGGCAAAGGTTTACCTAGAGTGAATATTTGAAGTTGGTGCAGAACTACAAATACCTAAGACAGAGAGTGGGCACCCGATTAAAAAAGTTAAATTGAGAAAACTCCAACAGTGTATGAAATTAGTTCCACCGTAAGAAAATGACAAGACAGAATAATTGGAGACCTTTGCCAATTCATGCAGTCTTTCTCCAGCAGTAAATGATGAGCTGTCAGGTATATCGTCTGTATAAAACAGACATAAATTAAAGGCCTTCTTACAATGCTCCTCAAAGCACCAGCCAAAGGAAAAAAAAGGAATGTTGAAACGGCTATATGGAACAAGCTTACCTTCTGAAGATAATATTGGAGAAGGAAAAAGTACGCATTTTGGTTCTTTTGGAGGGTAAGATGACTCCATCGCTACAGGTAAACAATTACTTGGTTGAAGCACAATAGTAAAAAATGCTTGAACGTGGACATCCATTAAGCACAAGAACATACAGAAGTACCTCTTTTGCATTTTTTCCATTCATTGCAAAGAACAGTAATAAGAAGATCGGGCCAGAAGCCTCTAACCTCCTTTACAAGAGCAGTAGCAGAATTCTTGTATGAAACCTGTATTTGGGAGGAAAATAGATGCAACAGCTATTAGGGATAGCAGATATGAGGTTCATGCATTGAATGCAACCAAATGAAAATACGGTAAGATCATGTCCATACCAATATATTTGATTAATTATTTTGTATGTCATTGACATATGCGTCAATGCAAGCAATCCACCAATAGAGTCACTATTGACTACAGGTTAGCTAAAGGAACTTCATCAACAACTTTAAAAACGTGATCCTTTTGGAATTTAGAAATAACCCCCATACAACTATATGAGGTCAACTATATAGATAACGCATGACCATTGGACTCCAATATATTTCTTCTATTATGCACTTTAGGAGGGTATAATAACGCTACTCATTTCACCATTTCTAGAAACACATTTTTCATTGCAGTAAAAGATCTTTTTCCCTCATTTCATGTACGCACAAATAATCAAGTCTTCGCAAGTTACATTTCTGGGCGGACAATTAATTGACAATGAACCAAGATGTTCCACGTGTGCAAATCAGCCCCACTCAAAAACTCACCTCTATATACTAAGCAGAGGTGGACATCCTATATATACAAACAAAACAAAATTATAGGCACATGCATTAATTCTTTGTGGTTGTTACTGGTAAAACCTCGTATGTTCTTACTTGCAGCAATTCCAGGTGTTGACTATTGAATTCTGCTTCACTGTAAGGAAGTAACTGGCGTAAAAGCCAACCACCATCCCACAATGTCTCTGCAGAAATATTTGAACGACAAAAGAGGCTAACTAATGCATCGAGCACCTGATAAAAGCACAAAGATCCTTATATGTTAAATTACTAAACATAATGTGATAGAACTTGGTATTGCAGAAAAGGTAAATATGGAGACCAACTTTGAAATTCAGATCCAGACTTGTAGAACAGCAAGAAAAGGACAAACAGAAAATTATTCCAAACAGTACTCGTTACAACTAATCATTATATTTTTAAGTAAAGCATTCATCTATGCTTTCCAAACTAGACCAGACAATAGATAATCACATTTAACCCTAAAATCTGGCCTTTGAAAAAACAGTATAAAACTGGTTATTGTGTAAACTGGCATAACCAGTGAGTAAGCTGGAAAAAAGATTGTTTTTTTCAAACTAAAACCCAATATTATGATGATTAATACAATTCTTTTCTAATATTATGACAATTGATAATTATTTTTATTTAATTCCTAACTCCAATATCTAATAAATATAGCATTTACTATTGAACTTAAATGCTTACATTTGATTTGATTACATACTAGATTTTGCATATTATAGGCTTTGATCTATGACATTTGTAAGTGTTGTTTAATTTTTAATATTACCAAGTTATCAATATATTATACATTTCTAGTATCAAGAAACACATCCTTGAGTTTTTATTTCCCTTAAACTTGCTACAGCCTCCAAGGTAGGATTTATTTATGGTATCTCGTAAGTTTTTGGTCAATGGATGTTTCAAGTTGCTATTTTTAATTGCAGAGACCGGACTGTCTGTCTTGGCTGCATATATCAGTAAACGATCTTTAAGCCAAGTTGCTATCTTTAACTTCAGAGAGACAGGGCTGTCTTTCTTTCTGCATACCTCACCAAGCGCTAAGCCTTAAAGCTTATCTCACCTAAACTTATCATTCATCTAAAAAAAAATTACTGAATTTCTCCCGTGCTCTTTGTTGTATTTAATTTATTGTGTTTTAGAGAATATATTATCCTTACCCAGTGTACTTTACCTCCTTTCTCCTCTTCAATTTTAATTTTTTCTTTTAAAAAAATGATGACATCATTAAGTGAAAAGTTCACAGAAATATGACCTATAATAAGGTGCCAATTAGCCATAATGTTAGTGCTACAGTTCCAATATCTTAAAAGAAAAGATTTGCCAAGTGCCAACAAATAAGGAGTCAAGTACTTTTTACATTTTAAAGATGAAACAATTACAACAAAGAATATAAACAAGATATAAACATCCACCTGAAATCTAGGCACGCGAGGGCTTGTGACAAGATCAGAGCAGAGAAAAGATAACCCATATAGCTCCTGTAAACATTGGTAAACAAAAACTAAGAAAGCCAAATCAAAGTAGCTTGTAAATATTAGTAAGAAAAACACAACACATAGGTTGCTCCACAAATACATCATAAAATTAAGTAAATCAAATATTAATCCAATTTAGATATAATCAATTAGAAATTATCAAAAAAAGATTCAATGTTTCAAATATACATTTAGTAAACTTTTGTATTCAACCTATGATACATAGATACTCCAAATGTGAGCGCATCATACCAAAATCAATAATCATAATGCACCTGCATTTCTGGTTTTCGTGTATCCTTTATTTTTTTATATCCACCATCCTTGAAGTACTTGCCAACCTCAATTATAATATACGGATTTGGCAGAAGGAAAACTCGAGGTGAGGTCTTAGACAGGACAATCACGTGGAGATGTTTTTGTTACATATATGAATATAAATATTTTGCTAATAACTAACATATATCCTTCTCCCAGTACTTAAAAAATGTCAGTAATTAAGTATTGTATCATATCAGATGCTTCATTCCATACCCATGCAACAATATATCCCACGAGATATTTCAGTGTCCCAAAGTAAGTTATGTTTTTGGTTCACTCTAACATATTATCAGGTGATTGATTCTGTACCCAAATCAGGGTACTTTAGTTCTTCCCTACCTTACCAAGTGTCCCGCATATTTTTCAAATTCATACTTTAAAAAATTATGTAGTAGTAAAAGATTTAAACTTAATGAAAAGCATTTACATGCGTGCAAATGTTTTAGTTTAAATATATGAATATAAATATTTTATTAATATTTAATGTATATTCTTCTCCCAGTATGTTAAAAAAGTCAGTATTTAAGTATTGTATCATATCAGATGCTTGATTCCATAACCTGTGCAACATAATATCCCACATACCTATGAAATCATTTATACACTAAATATGTAATGGTTATTCATGATACTCAATATCAATATTTCATCCAAATAACTACATATAATTGTGGGAGACATAGGGTTTACTTGGCATTAAAAGTGGATGGGAGGGAGGGATAGGGTCATGGGTTTGAATGTTCCCACTAATAAAAAACTAACATATTAACAATTAACATTTGACAAAAAAAAAAGTAAATAAGTATATATGTGTTGCTAATTATTAGAACCAGCTTCTTTTCTCTTACCTCTTCAGCATTTTTATTTTTCTCTTACCTATTGTGAAAAATAATTAAACTTAAATTGTATGTTTCGTAGAAATAAGCATTTTCATCACAGAAACAAAAACCTATTAATTTATAAATCATAGAAGTATATATTTTCATTACATTATTAATTAATTAATAATATCTAAAATTCTGATAACAAAATATACATCACAAAGAATTTAAATGAAAATAGTTTAACTTAAATAATATGAATAAACATCATACAAGAATGAAAACTTTACATGAAACCATATTAATATACAAACTAAATGAGTCAATATTTGCACCGTATGAGAATAAAAAGCTTACATAAAACATCGTAAATGGAAAGTTCACAGGTAAGCATATAAATATCGAATAAACATACATCACATTTAAACTTCAATAAAAATTAACTATCTAAACTATCATGATACATAATTACATTACTTATCATATCTCAATTACAACAATATTACATATATGTTGCTTATGTATTGGTTATAATTAATATTTTGTTTTTTATTTCTAATTATTTAAAATTGTGTTTTATGCATATCCAGCCTAGTACAATAAACTTACTTTTCTATTTTGAGCAGACAGATAACAAACACTCGTAATAAACTCTTTTTAACAAAGTTAAAATTTATTGAAATCCACAGTCAAAAGAGAGACTCATTTAATAAGAAATGAGACCCACCAAACATCGGGTTTTCAGAAAGGCGTGTTAAAAGTATGTTGCTAGCATTATTTTCCTGTAGCTTTGGCACATCCCACTTTTCCTGTGGATACCCACCACACCCTCGAAGCAGTGTATTATTTAATAAAATTAAAATACATGTAGATTCAAGTTCTATTATCTACAATCACCTCCTTCCAAACATCTTATTACTGCAACCACTCCCTTTTCAAAATTTTTGCNGCTGAAAATTCTGAGGTACAAGAAATTAATTTATTCCATAAGTTGCAATATGCATTCATGAGCATGGAGGGTGCGGCAATGTTTTGGTTCTATTATTGGTGCCAAGTGAACCCCATTTCGGTTGGGAATCATTTGATCAAAAGATTTGGAGGTAGCTATGGTAGCCACGTCTTTGAAAGATTGACTACGTGAAACATACATGTGTGTGTGTAATATAAAAATAGAAATATTGTCTCTTCATAAACCAAAGATGGGAGTTGATCTCTTTATGAATTCTCTTTAAAAACTAATTAGTTTGGTAATGTTATTACGATATGAAATAATAGAGAGTAATTTATGATGACTATGATTTATAATTTTTAAGGTCAAGAATATCTAAGAGATGCTTTTAATTTGGACTTTTCACAATTGCAATAATATATTTATAATGTTTTATGAACTTTTATACATTTTTAAATCTGTATCTTGCATGTATGATATCCTTTCACAATAATCATATCGTCGCATTGGATACACATATCATACCCGTGCATCACATGATATGAAAATTAGGATTTTTAAAATATAAAATATTTTTATGATTTGGAATATTCAAAATGGGTACCTAACAGTACTAGGTGCTTTAATGATAGCCCACATCATAAATATCTATCTGAAATTAGGAGCAGTTGGTTATCACATCATGTGTTTATCACTATATTGATATTAACATCAGGACAGAATTATTCTGCAACCACGCCCCCCTCCCAAAACACCAAAACCACAGGTTCTTCTCTTCTTTCTGCCTTTTGCCATTCTATCTCTTTTATGTTGAAGTATAACCCCTTTGTATGTAAAATCAGATAAGAGAGAAAACAGAAAACTCCAGTTAGGAACATTTACCAAGGTTGACTTCAGTTCCTGGTTTAGGGCCTGACAAATCAAGTCCAGATGTCTGAGCACGAGAATTCGCTGGGAGATCACCAGGAGGATAAATAAGAGGTTTCTCAGGCAAAGGTTTACCTAGAGTGAATATTTGAAGTTGGTGCAGAACTACAAATACCTAAGACAGAGAGTGGGCACCCGATTAAAAAAGTTAAATTGAGAAAACTCCAACAGTGTATGAAATTAGTTCCACCGTAAGAAAATGACAAGACAGAATAATTGGAGACCTTTGCCAATTCATGCAGTCTTTCTCCAGCAGTAAATGATGAGCTGTCAGGTATATCGTCTGTATAAAACAGACATAAATTAAAGGCCTTCTTACAATGCTCCTCAAAGCACCAGCCAAAGGAAAAAAAAGGAATGTTGAAACGGCTATATGGAACAAGCTTACCTTCTGAAGATAATATTGGAGAAGGAAAAAGTACGCATTTTGGTTCTTTTGGAGGGTAAGATGACTCCATCGCTACAGGTAAACAATTACTTGGTTGAAGCACAATAGTAAAAAATGCTTGAACGTGGACATCCATTAAGCACAAGAACATACAGAAGTACCTCTTTTGCATTTTTTCCATTCATTGCAAAGAACAGTAATAAGAAGATCGGGCCAGAAGCCTCTAACCTCCTTTACAAGAGCAGTAGCAGAATTCTTGTATGAAACCTGTATTTGGGAGGAAAATAGATGCAACAGCTATTAGGGATAGCAGATATGAGGTTCATGCATTGAATGCAACCAAATGAAAATACGGTAAGATCATGTCCATACCAATATATTTGATTAATTATTTTGTATGTCATTGACATATGCGTCAATGCAAGCAATCCACCAATAGAGTCACTATTGACTACAGGTTAGCTAAAGGAACTTCATCAACAACTTTAAAAACGTGATCCTTTTGGAATTTAGAAATAACCCCCATACAACTATATGAGGTCAACTATATAGATAACGCATGACCATTGGACTCCAATATATTTCTTCTATTATGCACTTTAGGAGGGTATAATAACGCTACTCATTTCACCATTTCTAGAAACACATTTTTCATTGCAGTAAAAGATCTTTTTCCCTCATTTCATGTACGCACAAATAATCAAGTCTTCGCAAGTTACATTTCTGGGCGGACAATTAATTGACAATGAACCAAGATGTTCCACGTGTGCAAATCAGCCCCACTCAAAAACTCACCTCGATATACTAAGCAGAGGTGGACATCCTATATATACAAACAAAACAAAATTATAGGCACATGCATTAATTCTTTGTGGTTGTTACTGGTAAAACCTCGTATGTTCTTACTTGCAGCAATTCCAGGTGTTGACTATTGAATTCTGCTTCACTGTAAGGAAGTAACTGGCGTAAAAGCCAACCACCATCCCACAATGTCTCTGCAGAAATATTTGAACGACAAAAGAGGCTAACTAATGCATCGAGCACCTGATAAAAGCACAAAGATCCTTATATGTTAAATTACTAAACATAATGTGATAGAACTTGGTATTGCAGAAAAGGTAAATATGGAGACCAACTTTGAAATTCAGATCCAGACTTGTAGAACAGCAAGAAAAGGACAAACAGAAAATTATTCCAAACAGTACTCGTTACAACTAATCATTATATTTTTAAGTAAAGCATTCATCTATGCTGTCCAAACTAGACCAGACAATAGATAATCACATTTAACCCTAAAAACTGGCCTTTGAAAAAACAGTATAAAACTGGTTATTGTGTAAACTGGCATAACCAGTGAGTAAGCTGGAAAAAAGATTTTTTTTTTCAAACTAAAACCCAATATTATGATGATTAATACAATTCTTTTCTAATATTATGACAATTGATAATTATTTTTATTTAATTCCTAACTCCAATATCTAATAAATATAGCATTTACTATTGAACTTAAATGCTAACATTTGATTTGATTACATACTAGATTTTGCATATTATAGGCTTTGATCTATGACATTTGTAAGTGTTGTTTAATTTTTAATATTACCAAGTTATCAATATATTATACATTTCTAGTATCAAGAAACACATCCTTGAGTTTTTATTTCCCTTAAACTTGCTACAGCCTCCAAGGTAGGATTTATTTATGGTATCTCGTAAGTTTTTGGTCAATGGATGTTTCAAGTTGCTATTTTTAATTGCAGAGACCGGACTGTCTGTCTTGGCTGCATATATCAGTAAACGATCTTTAAGCCAAGTTGCTATCTTTAACTTCAGAGAGACAGGGCTGTCTTTCTTTCTGCATACCTCACCAAGCGCTAAGCCTTAAAGCTTAGCTCACCTAAACTTATCATTCATCTAAAAAAAAATTACTGAATTTCTCCCGTGCTCTTTGTTGTATTTAATTTATTGTGTTTTAGAGAATATATTATCCTTACCCAGTGTACTTTACCTCCTTTCTCCTCTTCAATTTTAATTTTATCTTTTAAAAAAATGATGACATCATTAAGTGAAAAGTTCACAGAAATATGACCTATAATAAGGAGCCAATTAGCCATAATGTTAGTGCTACAGTTCCAATATCTTAAAAGAAAAGATTTGCCAAGTGCCAACAAATAAGGAGTCAAGTACTTTTTACATTTTAAAGATGAAACAATTACAACAAAGAACATAAACAAGATATAAACATCCACCTGAAATCTAGGCACGCGAGGGCTTGTGACAAGATCAGAGCAGAGAAAAGATAACCCATAAAGCTCCTGTAAACATTGGTAAACAAAAACTAAGAAAGCCAAATCAAAGTAGCTTGTAAATATTAGTAAGAAAAACACAACACATAGGTTGCTCCACAAATACATCATAAAATTAAGGAAATCAAATATTAATCCAATTTAGATATAATCAATTAGAAATTATCAAAAAAAGATTCAATGTTTCAAATATACATTTAGTAAACTTTTGTATTCAACCTATGATACATAGATACTCCAAATGTGAGCGCATCATACCAAAATCAATAATCATAATGCACCTGCATTTCTGGTTTTCGTGTATCCTTTATTTTTTTATATCCACCATCCTTGAAGTACTTGCCAACCTCAATTATAATATACGGATTTGGCAGAAGGAAAACTCGAGGTGAGGTCTTAGACAGGACAATCACGTGGAGATGTTTTTGTTACATATATGAATATAAATATTTTGCTAATAACTAACATATATCCTTCTCCCAGTACTTAAAAAATGTCAGTAATTAAGTATTGTATCATATCAGATGCTTCATTCCATACCCATGCAACAATATATCCCACGAGATATTTCAGTGTCCCAAAGTAAGTTATGTTTTTGGTTCACTCTAACATATTATCAGGTGATTGATTCTGTACCCAAATCAGGGTACTTTAGTTCTTCCCTACCTTACCAAGTGTCCCGCATATTTTTCAAATTCATACTTTAAAAAATTATGTAGTAGTAAAAGATTTAAACTTAATGAAAAGCATTTACATGCGTGCAAATGTTTTAGTTTAAATATATGAATATAAATATTTTATTAATATTTAATGTATATTCTTCTCCCAGTATGTTAAAAAAGTCAGTATTTAAGTATTGTATCATATCAGATGCTTGATTCCATAACCTGTGCAACATAATATCCCACATACCTATGAAATCATTTATACACTAAATATGTAATGGTTATTCATGATACTCAATATCAATATTGCATCCAAATAACTACATATAATTGTGGGAGACAGAGGGTTTACTTGGCATTAAAAGTGGATGGGAGGGAGGGATAGGGTCATGGGTTTGAATGTTCCCACTAATAAAAAACTAACATATTAACAATTAACATTTGACAAAAAAAAAAGTAAATAAGTATATATGTGTTGCTAATTATTAGAACCAGCTTCTTTTCTCTTACCTCTTCAGCATTTTTATTTTTCTCTTACCTATTGTGAAAAATAATTAAACTTAAATTGTATGTTTCGTAGAAATAAGCATTTTCATCACAGAAACAAAAACCTATTAATTTATAAATCATAGAAGTATATATTTTCATTACATTATTAATTAATTAATAATATCTAAAATTCTGATAACAAAATATACATCACAAAGAATTTAAATGAAAATAGTTTAACTTAAATAATATGAATAAACATCATACAAGAATGAAAACTTTACATGAAACCATATTAATATACAAACTAAATGAGTCAATATTTGCACCGTATGAGAATAAAAAGCTTACATAAAACATCGTAAATGGAAAGTTCACAGGTAAGCATATAAATATCGAATAAACATACATCACATTTAAACTTCAATAAAAATTAACTATCTAAACTATCATGATACATAATCACATTACTTATCATATCTCAATTACAACAATATTACATATATGTTGCTTATGTATTGGTTATAATTAATATTTTGTTTTTTATTTCTAATTATTTAAAATTGTGTTTTATGCATATCCAGCCTAGTACAATAAACTTACCTTTCTATTTTGAGCAGACAGATAACAAACACTCGTAATAAACTCTTTTTAACAAAGTTAAAATTTATTGAAATCCACAGTCAAAAGAGAGACTCATTTAATAAGAAATGAGACCCACCAAACATCGGGTTTTCAGAAAGGCGTGTTAAAAGTATGTTGCTAGCATTATTTTCCTGTAGCTTTGGCACATCCCACTTTTCCTGTGGATACCCACCACACCCTCGAAGCAGTGTATTATTTAATAAAATTAAAATACATGTAGATTCAAGTTCTATTATCTACAATCACCTCCTTCCAAACATCTTATTACTGCAACCACTCCCTTTTCAAAATTTTTGCACAGAACATCAGATTTTATTCTATTTTTCCTCATCAAACAAGCTATCATGATGACATTAATTATATTTGTTTCAGATCATATCAGATTCTCTACCCCATAACCATGATACATACACATTGTATAAAACTAGGAATATATTTAAGCATATTACATTATGAAAGAAATATATACCATACATTAAAAAATTATCCTAAAAAAACACATTTGCTTTAGTGATGGAAGCATGGAGCATGGCAACCCATATTATTCCTCCAAAGGATTGGGGTGCTTCCATTTTTTCAATTTCACAAACCAATTCACGAGGTTTGTCCAGTTTGTGATTGGTTCATGAGAATTCAGTTCATAAGCCACATCAGAACGGCTGGAGGACTGGTTCAAGGTTAACCAACTCCAGTTAACCAACCCAACTTTCAAAATATGGCACGCAGAAATATCCCAAAACATTTTTAATTAACTTAAAACATGGAACATAGGTATCCTTAAGGTAGAAGGGAGCAAATAAGTCATGCTTCTTTTGTACATGTTGAAGATCCCACATCAACTACAAATATAACAAAATTATAATGTATATAAGTGAATACAAGTTTCACCTTAAAAACAAGTTTTGTGAAATTGAGTTAAGTTTAAAGTTCAATTTTTCAATATGATATCATAGCCTATTAAAATGAGATTTGTTTGGTCTACCATGTCATCCACAATTGGATTACCCATAATTTATTATTCCCACACTTATAAAAGGGTTGTGTTAAAGATCTCACATTCACTAGAAATGTGATCAAATTATAGTATATCAGTGGGCTTAAACCTCACCTTCTAGGCTGTTTTTGTAAGGTTAAATTAAACTTAAAGTTCACTTCCTAAACATATAAAATACTTGAGTTCATTGATCAAACATCCCCTATTCTCTTGAGGTGATAACAAAATTAATTATGGTCCATGAGAAAAAAATAATAATGAAAAAAGTGTCAATACAACTACATGCATAACAGAAAAGAGAAATAATTTTACCAATCGCTCAATTTATTAACTAAAACCAGAAAGTAAACTTAGTATAGAAAAATTCCAGCATTCAGTCTGTATTCAGACAGATTTGTTAATTATCCATGTCCTATGGACATTTCTGCCTCAAGAGACTAGACATGCAAATGTCCTCAATTAGGTTAACTAGGAAAAAAGTAAGAGTAGAAACCAGATACAATCAGATATTNTTTCAAATATACATTTAGTAAACTTTTGTATTCAACCTATGATACATAGATACTCCAAATGTGAGCGCATCATACCAAAATCAATAATCATAATGCACCTGCATTTCTGGTTTTCGTGTATCCTTTATTTTTTTATATCCACCATCCTTGAAGTACTTGCCAACCTCAATTATAATATACGGATTTGGCAGAAGGAAAACTCGAGGTGAGGTCTTAGACAGGACAATCACGTGGAGATGTTTTTGTTACATATATGAATATAAATATTTTGCTAATAACTAACATATATCCTTCTCCCAGTACTTAAAAAATGTCAGTAATTAAGTATTGTATCATATCAGATGCTTCATTCCATACCCATGCAACAATATATCCCACGAGATATTTCAGTGTCCCAAAGTAAGTTATGTTTTTGGTTCACTCTAACATATTATCAGGTGATTGATTCTGTACCCAAATCAGGGTACTTTAGTTCTTCCCTACCTTACCAAGTGTCCCGCATATTTTTCAAATTCATACTTTAAAAAATTATGTAGTAGTAAAAGATTTAAACTTAATGAAAAGCATTTACATGCGTGCAAATGTTTTAGTTTAAATATATGAATATAAATATTTTATTAATATTTAATGTATATTCTTCTCCCAGTATGTTAAAAAAGTCAGTATTTAAGTATTGTATCATATCAGATGCTTGATTCCATAACCTGTGCAACATAATATCCCACATACCTATGAAATCATTTATACACTAAATATGTAATGGTTATTCATGATACTCAATATCAATATTGCATCCAAATAACTACATATAATTGTGGGAGACAGAGGGTTTACTTGGCATTAAAAGTGGATGGGAGGGAGGGATAGGGTCATGGGTTTGAATGTTCCCACTAATAAAAAACTAACATATTAACAATTAACATTTGACAAAAAAAAAAGTAAATAAGTATATATGTGTTGCTAATTATTAGAACCAGCTTCTTTTCTCTTACCTCTTCAGCATTTTTATTTTTCTCTTACCTATTGTGAAAAATAATTAAACTTAAATTGTATGTTTCGTAGAAATAAGCATTTTCATCACAGAAACAAAAACCTATTAATTTATAAATCATAGAAGTATATATTTTCATTACATTATTAATTAATTAATAATATCTAAAATTCTGATAACAAAATATACATCACAAAGAATTTAAATGAAAATAGTTTAACTTAAATAATATGAATAAACATCATACAAGAATGAAAACTTTACATGAAACCATATTAATATACAAACTAAATGAGTCAATATTTGCACCGTATGAGAATAAAAAGCTTACATAAAACATCGTAAATGGAAAGTTCACAGGTAAGCATATAAATATCGAATAAACATACATCACATTTAAACTTCAATAAAAATTAACTATCTAAACTATCATGATACATAATCACATTACTTATCATATCTCAATTACAACAATATTACATATATGTTGCTTATGTATTGGTTATAATTAATATTTTGTTTTTTATTTCTAATTATTTAAAATTGTGTTTTATGCATATCCAGCCTAGTACAATAAACTTACCTTTCTATTTTGAGCAGACAGATAACAAACACTCGTAATAAACTCTTTTTAACAAAGTTAAAATTTATTGAAATCCACAGTCAAAAGAGAGACTCATTTAATAAGAAATGAGACCCACCAAACATCGGGTTTTCAGAAAGGCGTGTTAAAAGTATGTTGCTAGCATTATTTTCCTGTAGCTTTGGCACATCCCACTTTTCCTGTGGATACCCACCACACCCTCGAAGCAGTGTATTATTTAATAAAATTAAAATACATGTAGATTCAAGTTCTATTATCTACAATCACCTCCTTCCAAACATCTTATTACTGCAACCACTCCCTTTTCAAAATTTTTGCACAGAACATCAGATTTTATTCTATTTTTCCTCATCAAACAAGCTACCATGATGACATTAATTATATTTGTTTCAGATCATATCAGATTCTCTACCCCATAACCATGATACATACACATTGTATAAAACTAGGAATATATTTAAGCATATTACATTATGAAAGAAATATATACCATACATTAAAAAATTATCCTAAAAAAACACATTTGCTTTAGTGATGGAAGCATGGAGCATGGCAACCCATATTATTCCTCCAAAGGATTGGGGTGCTTCCATTTTTTCAATTTCACAAACCAATTCACGAGGTTTGTCCAGTTTGTGATTGGTTCATGAGAATTCAGTTCATAAGCCACATCAGAACGGCTGGAGGACTGGTTCAAGGTTAACCAACTCCAGTTAACCAACCCAACTTTCAAAATATGGCACGCAGAAATATCCCAAAACATTTTTAATTAACTTAAAACATGGAACATAGGTATCCTTAAGGTAGAAGGGAGCAAATAAGTCATGCTTCTTTTGTACATGTTGAAGATCCCACATCAACTACAAAAATAACAAAATTATAATGTATATAAGTGAATACAAGTTTCACCTTAAAAACAAGTTTTGTGAAATTGAGTTAAGTTTAAAGTTCAATTTTTCAATATGATATCATAGCCTATTAAAATGAGATTTGTTTGGTCTACCATGTCATCCACAATTGGATTACCCATAATTTATTATTCCCACACTTATAAAAGGGTTGTGTTAAAGATCTCACATTCACTAGAAATGTGATCAAATTATAGTATATCAGTGGGCTTAAACCTCACCTTCTAGGCTGTTTTTGTAAGGTTAAATTAAACTTAAAGTTCACTTCCTAAACATATAAAATACTTGAGGTCATTGATCAAACATCCCCTATTCTCTTGAGGTGATAACAAAATTAATTATGGTCCATGAGAAAAAAATAATAATGAAAAAAGTGTCAATACAACTACATGCATAACAGAAAAGAGAAATAATTTTACCAATCGCTCAATTTATTAACTAAAACCAGAAAGTAAACTTAGTATAGAAAAATTCCAGCATTCAGTCTGTATTCAGACAGATTTGTTAATTATCCATGTCCTATGGACATTTCTGCCTCAAGAGACTAGACATGCAAATGTCCTCAATTAGGTTAACTAGGAAAAAAGTAAGAGTAGAAACCAGATACAATCAGATATTAAATGTAATGACAGAGTCAACTACTAAAATCAATGAAGTAGAAAAGTGTAGAACCAAGGTTGCTTCAAGGAGTCAAATAGAGAAAAGCCAATAACTCTTAAAAATAGGAAACTGCAAACCTTAATCTTTTCAAGATAGGTATTGAGCTCGCAGCCAATGCTATCCCTCATCCAGCTATTTTCAGAGGAAAAAAGTTGCTCTTCACCTGAAGCCTCACCAACCAAAGCTTGCTGCAGAAATATACAACACCAATTATGTAACATACAACAATAGACCAAATTCATCAAGAGTGGAAAGAAGCACCACTCCACTACATAACAGCTCAGCCATCTCCCCATCCAACCAAAACGAGCTCTATTTTAAAATGAATGAGAAAAAAAAATAACAACCATCTGGAAATAATCTCCTAGGTATACTAGTCAACTGCACTATATTTATAAATGTTTCTTCCAGTAACCAAAGAGAATAGAATACTTTCCTATCATAATTATTGAAGACATTACAAGGATCACATTTTCACACATCATAACTTTATTCCCTCAAAACAAAAAATTCCTTGGAAAAATTAATTCCTATAAATTCTAACCACAAGTGAACAGTATATTTCTAGAAATATTTCAAATTTGCAATTACTCCCATGAAAAAAAATTTCAGTTTTTTTTTTGTTCTAACCACAAAACAATTTTCTATTCTTCCTTCGCATCCTAAACCTTGAACAAGGCATTCTCCAGCACCTTTAACTTCATTAATAGATTATCAAATCCACAAATAGTAGGTATGTTACTATGTGCCAAGAAGATTCCAAACAGAAATTCTTGACATATTATTTTTGCAAACAATGTAATCCAAGTTGAATAGTCAAGAATGTAATCAAATGAGAAGATAAATGAAGAAGCAAGCTTTGGAAGCATATAGCTGGTTTTTAAATTAGAAGTAAAATGTAAGTTTAGATAGAGGTGCACTAATCCTAAATTTGACATGAAAACTGGTGATCATATCATAAATTGACTCACATGGTTTAAGTATTTTGGGTACATCATAGATCATACAAAAGAAGGAACAAATACATGGAGATGTAAATTCAAACAAGGTGAAAAAACCAAGTGTTTTGAGTGTTATGACAGAAAAATACCACTCTAACTGAAGCAGGAGATTTTGAAGACAGCTATTGGACCTACGATGTTGTATGGCACAGAATAGTGGGCAGTGAAAAGTCAACAGATTAAAGTCAACACAGCAAGGATAAAACATTGCATTAGATGAGTTACTGTAGTAGAAGAGATAAGATTATGAATTTCATATCCAAGAGGAAGTGCACTTTACCCTGGCTGATTCAGGAATGTGTGGAGAGTGCATGTTAGCATGGTTGTTAAACTCAAGTTTTTAACTCATTCGAGTTTACAAGTTTAGGAACCCAAAACAAACTACCTCATGTAAATTTGCATTATCGTAAACTCAAGTGATATCAGTGAACTCAGACTCAAACTTGGTAAGCTTGCAAGTTCATAACCAACTTTTGGAAGTTCAGATACATTTCATAATGTGTGCTGTCCGCTACCCAAAAACGATGACATTTTCATTCCATTTAATTAAGGCTCCTCTTTCAAAAACTTGATTATAACCCTAAGCTTCACAAATAAATTCAAAAACTTTATCCTCCCAAACCCTACGAAGCTGAAGCTGCTGTTGTTGATTCTCAGTTACCTCAGTTCAGTGGCTGTTGTTTGTGAACAGAAAACCCTTATCGAGTCTTGAGTAAACAATTATTTGTGTAAATGTGAACTCTCAGTTACTGTAGTTCATCAACAGTGTGAACTTTCTCACATTACGAAGTTAGGTTTTGACTCAAGTTTACCCAAACTTGAGTTTAACACCTTGCTTGTAGGAGCCATAATTAGGGAAGTAGATCATACAAAGGGTAGCCTAATTGTTAGAGGTAGGGACACACAAAGAATCTAGGGGGAAAGGGCTAGGATAGTGCCGGGGTTTTCTTAATTTTTTTTAATAATGTCACTAGAATGTAAATTAAACGCTCAGCGGTAATCATAAAGGAATGATACAAAGGAAAATGCTAAGTATTTGGCATAAAATGCCACATTTAATTAAGCCAGAAAAATTTTAAAATGCAGAAGGCATGACATCATCTACACCAATATAACCTTGTGGCAAAATCTATAATAAAAATTTAAAATGTGCACAACAATAATAAAAATCCTACCTGAAGCACCATATTGACAAATGGAGGTAAAAGTCAACAGTCAAATGCTTATATATGTAAAATGGTAAAAATGGATGCAACATACCAATAACTGCTTCTTGTGCTGTTTGCGTTGTGGAAGAATTCCAAGCTTGTCTAGCATAGATTCATCAAGTTCTACAGAGCAATATATATTAAGAAAAATAGAATAGAGGTTACAATGGTAAAGCAAACACATATTTACTGGCAAGACCTTTAGTTTGCAGTAAAGTAGAAAGCACACTCAGAGAACCCAAAACTTGTACATCATCCCCTTTGGTAACATATGCAAGCAAAACCTCCCTACAACAGTTGCGGTTCATGAGGACAAAAAGAAGTAATCAGAACTGTGTTAGCAAAGTCCAAGATCTAAGATATTACATTTTATTTGATAGAATAGAAATTGCATATTGTCACTTCAATTACTCCGCAAAAAGTAAATGAATGATAGTTTAAGCAGCCATGACAAGAATAAAATACTTCAATCTGACATATCAACAAAATCAAGTTTAAATTCAGGTGAAAAGAGTGGCCCTTACCTCAATGTCAAATTTGAACTGCCACGATTATTTTCTGACATAACACTTTCAGGGTATAAGTCTGAAGAGCTAGTAGAGTTTGGCACTTCCACTGTCAAGTATTCTGCTTTGCACTTTGCACTATTATCATCTGGTTCTTGGCTTACGGATGTAAAACCACTATCAGATGTATAGCCATTGACTTTTCCCCCAGAAAATTTTGTAAAGGTCTCAAAGGGATAAAAAAGAGCAGCGACTATGGTATTTGCCAAATCTTTGATCTTGACTATCCTTAAGATGCAACAAAGTAAGTAGAGAGAAGTGACAACACCACTTTGCATGTCCTGGATTAATGTGCTACTAAGCATTAATATGGACACATTTATAATGTTCAATCAAAATACATATAATCAAAATCTTTTAGAGATCCTTGAACAGATGCAAATCTTGATTAACGTAAACATAGAAAGCAATAAAGTGAAGTCTCATACATTAGAGTCCAGTGTTCTCAGGGAAGGAAGAAGTAATGGAAAAACCAGAAGCATCAAAATGCTGTCTGTTATTAACCTCCCAACATCGGGAATCCCAGCAGAGATAACATCACTAAAGTAATACAGGTTATCCTCAATTTCATCTACAGCAGCAATTATTGCAGAGGTTGAATCTGAGCTTTGATTTCTGTTTCAGTAACAATAATTTCTCAATTAAGGAAGTAAAGAAATCTGTAGTATGCCAAAGTGAAAGAACCTATGATGTCTTACTTGAGTGCCTCAGACACCAGTCTATTTAAATCCATACACTGATTCCTAAAAAACGAAACCAGGTTTGAGAAGTATTCTGTGTGAGGTGCACTTGTTATATATCTATTAACACATTCATCCCCAACTGAAAATTGTACAGACAATTGTCAGAAAATATATGTACACATATACTTTTGCATCATAACATAACTGAGTTTAGAAAAATAAAAATTGTGGGGGCAGAGGGAGGCCACATAAGACAGTAAATCTTACCATGATAAACATTAAGGGTCACAGTACGTACAGCAGTGCGAACCATGTTCTCCTCGTGAAAGGCAAAGCGAATTGCCTCAACATACATTGGAAATGAAACTACTTCCTCCTAAATATATAGAAAAGTTGAGTACAATCATGTGGACACGGAACATACAGTGGAAATGACATTACTTCATCCTAAATGTATAGAAAAGTAGAGTAAAATCATGAGGACACAGAAAACAAAGGCATAAAAGAAAAGTCTTATATCTCAATGGTTAAATTACTTAGTTGGATCCTGAATTATTTGGAAATTTTCAAGTTCCTAAACTAAATTTTTGAAATTTGGTCCTTGATCATGTGATTTTTTTTAATTAAGTCCCTATGGTTTTTATAACAGACAAATCGTTAGTGGTTTTAAGCTTCCATAAACTAGTCCCAAGGACATACATTTTTTAGTGAGACCTAATTAAAATTGTCCAAGGACTTAATTGAAGCTTCCAAATAATTGAGGGACCAACTGAGTAATTTAGCAAAAAAACAATAAACTAAGCTTGAAAGACTGGATAAAACAGATGGTCAAAAATGGATGTTAATAATCAAACAAGATTGACTGTTACAGCTTACAGGAATAACAAATGGCAACAGGCTTCGAGTAAACCTATTTCACTATTAATATCAGCCCCAACTGAAGAAAATATCAAACAAAGTTTTGCTGCATCTAAAAGAGATACTTTTTTTTTATCTTTCCTTTGGTTTCTTCTATATTATAACAAAAAACTTTAAACACGGAGAATATGCCAGTACAATTAAGCCTGTACTATCAACTTTTCATAGCCAACAGCTAGGAAGAGAAATCAAAACTTAGTCTCGCCTCCTTTTCCATTTTAAAGCCATAAATATGAGATCAACTGTCCAGTAGTTATTCTAAGAACATCTTACAAATTTCACTTAATCTAATATTATTAATCACTAACAAAATAAGTAGACCCAGAAAGCAGAATACTTACATCGTGAGTCTTCACAAGCAGAGAAATTGTACTCTTGTTCAATTTTCCACTTATTGCTCTTCAATGACCAGAAGACATTTAACCAAAGAACTAGTTAGCAAAATATATCATGGGATCAACAAAACTGATACAACCCCGGAAAACAAATTTCATGCAGTTTAGTCCTAAATTTCCATTCATCAATAGGATGCATCAAAACAAACCTTAAAAAGGATATGTAGTATGACAGTAGCTCTTCGTTCCGAAAATCAAATGAATATGTAATTAGGTAATTCATATGTTCATTACTAAACATATAATCTGCAAAAGTCGGGATAAAGATGACAATTAAGCCCATCAACATTGTTAACTCTAGCTGAGAAACAAATGTAACTGCAAAACAGGACATTTCGTTTGACAATCAACTTACATATAGCATGTTCACTTCTTAGGTTCTGGATCATAATACTCACTGTTTGTAGTAACTGAAGTGGAATACTAATACTTTTGCTGAGTTTAAGTATCCGTACAAACTCTCCCACAACTTGCTTTTCCATGAAGAAACTGCCACAAACTATAATATTAAATTGCCAGAACAAAACAAATTTTATCTAGTAACATAAGCACAAGTGAATCTCACTCAAAAAAACTTGGGTCATGTTGGTCGCCATATGTGATCAACTCTGCAATAGATCTCAGTGCCTCGATAACAAAATCCTTCCACAATACACATTTTAGAAGTAAGGGAAACCATGGAAAACGAGCTAAAGAATGCTCTAAGCTTACGATGAAGTTATTATTACCTTATTAACGTCGTTAACTATTTGAACTTTTGTCAGTTGATCAGTTAAGTACCTGAGCACCATAAGGCAGCAGGACAACACTTAATGAATGAACAAAATAAACAATCAGTAAAGTTTACCCCCTTTTTTGCTACATTATCATTAAGAATATATATTAACAAAATGTACTTCAAATCAGTATTATAAATCACAACTGCGGAGTAACACGACTCTTATCCTTTATAACATCTCACCTGATAAAAAGGCAGTGTGCACATTTTACCAGGGAAGAAGTTGACTGACAACTGGCAACATGGATACAAGGATAAGGGATTTCATTTTGCAACAAAGAAACTAAGGCTTTAAATGATACCTATAGAACGCACAGTTTGATTTTGATAAGTGAAAATAAGAAAAGTGTTAGAACACATTCTCTACCGCACTATTAAATGAACCCATCACTGTTAGCTAAAAATTATAATGAATCAAAAAAATTGCATATGTAATAACTGAAAGCGGCCCTCACTGGTTGGTGTCTTTGTAATTTCCAACAAAGTTTAATCAATCTCTATCACTCATGTGCAAACAAAACCAACAAAGTATCTGGTTACCACAGACAATGGAACTTTTTTGTTCTTCCTCGTCCCTCCCTTTCTCTTTCTCAGTCTCTGTGGTTTTATGCACTAAATCAGATTCTATGGTGCGAGTATTATAATCCAGATTGACAAGCCAAACAGTCCGGTAAGTTAGGAAGAGCAGAAGCTTCAAAAGCCGAACTCCTCACTTCAATTCAACCACAAACAGAATAAAAAACAAACAAAATTCCCAAACTACAGGTATCAGGCACAGAAAGAGAGGCATAACGGGATCATCGGACGCCCGAAAGATAAATGCAGATTTTATTATTTTAATTTAATTTGCGTTCAACAATTAAACGCATTTCAAGAATTTGAGAACACGCAATTCGCCAGCTACGTAATGCAAACCTGAGATGATCCAAGGTAAAACGATCTCTGGATCTCCAGAAGGAAAACCACATGGTTGTGCGAATCACAGCACCGAATTGAGCTCACTGAAATTCATGCTGAATCCAATTCGAAACTGCTCGATCCTTCCGAGCAGCTTCTTGATATAGAGGGAGAGAGGGAGTAGGGTTTTCGAAAGATCGCGATGACAGAGACTATTACAGAACGAAGCAGGAACACTTGGCCTTAGATTAACGAACCAGGTAGAAGAATTTCAAGGAAAATTGAAAAGTGACGCAATTTCTCGTAATTAAAAACGAAAAGGAACTCGCCAATACCGAACCGGAATCTGGATTCGACCCGATTCATCGCATTATGTGGAGGACTTAACTTTCAGTAAGACAATGGTTTGCTTTTACTTCAAAATGGGCCTATTATCAAAATGGCCAGTTTCAGTTTTCAGGCTTTTTCTTCTTGCACCTCCATTATTAGTAACCGCACTTCTCACTACCATAAAATGATTAAAATACTCTCTCATTGCACTACAACATTCTTTTTGCGGCTTTTGTCATCTTTGTCTCTGTAGAGGAAGAAGAAGAGAGAACATGATGTAAAAATAATCTCATTCTAAAAAACTCATTTTGAAATACATTTCATGTTTTAAAGAAAACTTGTACTAAAAAGTTTTTGAAAAAACTTGTTTCATAACATGTTTCAAAAGTCTTATTTTGGAAATTTTATTCTCAAATATGTTTCATGTGTTTTAAAATGTTTATTCTATAAATTTTGTTTCAAAAATATTATTCCAAATTCTACAGTGGAAATCATGTCCTGGAATTTTCGTAAGTCTTATTTCAAAAGATTTTCAAAATGGGTAATTTGAAAATCAGTTTTACAAAGTGGTCATTTTAAAATTTATGGAGTGCAGGATACGGAGGTGCAAAAAGAAACACTCATTTCAAACCAAAAGATGTAAATTGTGCAAACTGATATTATTACATTATCACTGTTCCAAGTGCTATATTAATTAGATATAAGATCAATTTATAGTATATAAAATCTAAATTTTACCTTACAAGCTCGTATTGTAGAATTGAATTAGACTTAAAATTCATTTCTTAACAATGATCAAATAATAAGTAATAAGTTTTTAATTATGTTGATGTTTCATCTTATATATTTAGTATTGACATACGGTCACCCAGGTATTCAAATATTATGTTATACATTTATGGTATTTTGTTATTGATAATTTTTGCTAGTAATTTATCATTAAATA